GTGTGTGTGTGTGTGTGCAGGCAGACGAAGGTTCACCTGCAGACGCTCAGGGACAGGTCAGAGGTGGAGAAGATGACCCCCAGAGAAAGGATGAGACTCCGCAAACTGCAGGCTGCTGATGAGGAGGCCGGGAGACTCAGGTGAAGCTTATTTATCTCTGCAGCGCCGCCTTCCACGCCATTATAGTCCCGCTGGTATGCATAGACCTGACACGTAGGGTATATAGAGAAGGTTGGGTGGAGCTTCACTTCCAGCCGACGGTGGTCTGAATGTGAGGCTGATGAGTTATTTTCATAAGAAGATATGAGCAGGACAAAAACACAAAAAGACTCTTTTACAAACAGAGTGAGCGTTCAGATAAACTCATATATGCACCTAACATATTAAAAATGCAACAAAATAATGTGTAATCTTCAAACACACATAAAAAGGAACAGCACAGCTTGGATCGTTAGATTGCTTCTGTCGGCCGACGGTCCGGGACACAGAACGATAGCAAAGAAATGAAATTGCAGCCGTGTGTTTGTTGCTGGCGTTGATGGTCGTGTGCAGCGATGAACATTAAGGCTTAATCAGCGTTGATGAATCTACATCTGGAGGAAGGACGACTCCGATCCAGACTCCTGTTTCCTGTTTCACGAGGGGCAGCAGCAGGCGGCTCCATCAGGACTCAAAGCCGTGACCTCGATCAGGCGGCGTGAGAGCAGAGTGACATTATCCAAATTGGATCTGACACATTCTGGTTTCCGTCCCCCCGAGCCGGCGTGCTAATCGACTTTCGTCACGGCGAGGGGGCCGTTAAACGCTTGTTATCGTCACTGCGTGCGTAATAAAGTGTGAATGTGCTCAGAAGCCTGTGAACGACGCCAGCGCGCCGCCAACACGGATCCTCGTCAGATGGCGTGCAGACGGAGATCACATGGGAGGGCAGGGACGACAGCAGGCCGGCGCGGCTGTTTGGCAGCAGGCGGACGGTTCCTGCAGGACTTTATGTCGGAACCAGAACCTGAACATGTGTTTCATCAAGTCCGGCTCACATGAACTTAGAGATTTATCCACAAATACGCTGCCGATCCTCAGTGTTCGCTCTTAATGAAGCAGCTGCTGACTCCACACCTGTTTACACACTTACAAGCCCATTAAACAGCCGTTATCTGTCCCGTGGACACATCCAGCAGGCTGTTATCACCTCCTTTATTGGTGGCGGGCGCCCCAGAAGCCACCTTTCATTACCAGGAAACTTGTGCACTACCCTGAAATAAGGTTATGGTTCCCTGTTTGCTCTCACAGAGAGATGCTGAGGCTGTCAGGAGACGGGTGGAGGGTTGTAGCTGCAGAGCTACAACCCTCCACCCGTCCAACATGAGGATTTATGCATATTCATTCTACAGGTTATATACTGTTATATATTCTGCAGGTTATTTCATGACCAAAGTGTAAAACAAGGCAGAATAAGGGCACCATGAACAGCAGCTGGGCAGAGCGGCATAAACCACGTGTCCACGTCCCTGAAGCATCTTTATTGTGACAGAGTGCAGATGGTTGTCAGGGAGACAGAACGGAGGCAGGAAGTGGTCTAAAGGTGCACGAGGAGGCGAGCTGGAGGGGGATCAGAGAAAAACCTTCTGAAGGAACTGTTACCCTCACAGCGTGTCCTCTGTCCTCTACAGGAAACTGGCTGAGGAGAAGTACGAGGAGGTCCACACCCGCAGGAGGGAACTGAGGAGCCGCCATTTCCAAAAAGTCAGTGTGGATGTTCTGAATGTAAGAAACACTTTGTTGTTCCTCTGATACTCGACCCGGGCTTCGTGGGTTTCTCTGTTGTTCTCCGAGTCTAACTGGGTTCCAGTAAAACGCTCATTTAATGCTTTTCCACCAACCGTTAGGAGAGCAGAGAGGGCGGAGCCTGCCGGAGTCAGGCTCAGCCAATCAGCAGCCAGAATCACCAGAACGCTGGAGGGTCGGCGCCAAAACCGAAGCAGGACGAGTCAGAACCAGAACTGCACGGTGAGAAAACAACAGACATGGCGGCTCGTTCATCGCCACGCGTACACGCAGAGAGCACACAGGCGCAGACTCAGAGGGCCGGAGCTTCCCAAGGGGTGGAGCTTCCCAGAGGGGTGGAGCGTCACAAAAACCACCTTAAAGAGCACAAACACAAAACGAGCGAGAAGACCAAAAACAAGTGCAAAGAGATTAAAAACAATAAAGCTGTGGTCACATTCGCTGCTTAACAAATGTATTAGTCATTGAAACAAGAACACAAATGTTTTAGAATCTGTCAAAACATTTGTTTGAAACTAAAAATGATGTTTTTTATTCTGCAAACAACAAACAAAAGCAGCTGGAAATGAATCAAGATGAACTTTCAAACTCCAAAACTCATTTTTCTGTTCAGGGATGAAAGAAATAGGTGTAATTCAGCATCTTCTAATAATAATAATAATAATAATAATAATAATAATAATGTGCTTTATTATTTCTATCTGCCCTTTTGTATTACAGGACATTTGAATTCAAGGACAACAACAATAATTATGTTATAGTGATAAAAATATCATCAGGCTTGCACATGCTGGTGGATTAACCACGAACATAAACAGTGATTATTGTTTATTTCGGGCAGCTGTGGCACTAACCTTGAATCGAGCGGTCGTCCGATGAATCTGTGAAGTTTTTTAAAAAGCTCTTAAAGAGTGAGAACGTCTGAACTTGGACGTGTTGAGTTCTAACACGTGAAATATCATTCAAATGTTATGTAACTAAATGTAACTAAATTACAACACTCGACACTTTTTCCGGAGCTCGTTTTCTCGGTTGCCACGGTGATGCATCTCCTCTGAAGAGTCTGGACGACGAACGCGCTGCAGACGTGAAACGTGCTTCCTGTGGAGTTGCAGCAGCTTCAGATTTGTTTCTGTAACAAACATCAGAAACTTTCGGTTCTTTTCATGGTTCTGCAGGTTTTTCTGAGAGGTCCCGAAGTACGGACCAGATTCAGACTGTGAATTATTGAGTTTGGGGATGTCTGTTCTACCATTAAATAATATATATTTATGTTGATAAGGTCAGAAAATGTCTTTTCTTGGAGGCTTCTTCAGTAGGAACCTCAGGCTGAGACTTAAAGCAGGTTCTCTTTTCTCCACATCAAACTCAGAACTCGGAGCTTGTGTGAAACTTCAGCTTCACGCTGGACGGCTAAATTACGCAGGCTGTGTCTGTTCAAGTGTTTCTAACAGGCTTGGAGAACATTTCCTCAGCTTGCAGTTATGATCTGTCTTCAGGTTCATATTGCTCCCGTGTTCTGTCACTGACGTTTCCTAAATAAACCCAGCAGCCAGCGAGCTCGAACTAATAAAATTTGCAGCTGATGTGAAGCAAAAGCTCTCCAGAGGGGTCTGCGTTTCAGCAGCTTAATCATACGTTTATCTAAAAATCCTTCGGCGGTAATAAGGAAGGCCAACAGCCAGAAAATTTCATTAAAGTTAATGTCATTTGTAAAAAATCAGCTCAGGCGAGACAAAGAAAGTCTGAAATTTCTTTGTTATCGTGCTTTCATCATCGGTCCCTCCTGGATTTTTCACTTTTTATGAGCACAGTTCAGAGCTGAGGGCAGCTGTGGGAGGATGCTGAGGTTATATCTGAGTTATTCAGGTTTTTGCACAAGAGAAGGAAGCAGAAACGTGGATGACAGTGAAAGTGTCAGCGCCTTAAAAAGACTCAACGTCAGTATCATCCAGTAACCTGCCGACATCTTTGGAAGCAGTTCAAACCAGTTTACATGGAGAAGATAAAAGAGAATAAACAGCTTCAGCTCGACAGCGTCCTCCCTACGGCCATGTTGGAAAACACTTTGACTGAACATCAGCAAACAGCTGAGGAGCACTTCCTGTTTCTCTGGGAAACACCTGAAACCTCCGTGAAGTCCCCGAGCGCGAGCGCGATCCAGCAGGACCGATTATGAGAGGAAGCCGTTGGAGTTTGATCAGTTTGGTGAGAAACTCGCAGCTGGAGACGTGAGCCTGCAGGGAGCTCACAAATAAAGAAACAGAGCTCTTTATGTACAAAGCAGAAATCTGTTATATGAGTGGAAGCAGCTGCGTTGGTTTTTCATGCTTCCTGGGAGCAGATGGAATTTCGATTCTCCACACGGAGAGTTTTCAGGGATGAAGTGGCCCCGCGGCGTTTCACAGACACTTAGATTCACATCAAGAAAACAGACTTCATTTAATGTTTTCATAGTTCTGAACAGAAACTAGGTGGCTCTGCTCTCCTCCAGCTCTCAGCTTTTCAGTTTGTATTCGATTGGACGGTGAACGCGTGACGTTCGGGATCAGATCACATCTTACACTTCAGGCGTCCTTCAGCAGCACAGACGCTGAGTGATGAGGAACCGCCGACAGGACGTTTGGCTCGATGCTGAGTTCATAAAGGTTCGACTCAGGGAGTCGTAATGAAACCTGAGATTTTCTCTCCTCCGGATGCTCAGAGACAAAAACAGAAAGTTAGTTTGTGGAGCGAGCTGCATTTGAATAAAGCACCAAATCCACACTGTTTTACTTTTAAGCTTAAATTTCAAAACTTACCTTTTTTTTCCATTTTAAATCCTGATTTTTATTTGTTTTTGTTTTTAATGTCTCTGTAAATACTTTGAATCACCTTGCTGTTGAATTGTGCTGTATAAATAAACTTGCCTTGCCTGGGAATGATCTCGCTGGAGGAGCTGGAGCTGCTGTGAAACAGGGTGTTAGTCGGCTTTAAAAGAAGACCAGTGTTTGCGTTTCACAGCCGCCATCGCAGAACTTGGTCACTGCTCTGAAACAGTGAGGAGGAAGTGGAAAGACTCCCGCTGGTCACGTCCTTAAAGTGACTCCTCATTAGTTTTTGATTTATTTGCAGGCTCTGGTTCAACACGTTAAACTGCGAGTGTCTCCACAGAGAGCCATTTCTAAGTAATGAACTTTGAAAGCTTCATTTTGCTGCCAGCCTTTCATCATAACACACGTCACCTTTTCCAAACCGCCATCGTCTTATTTTAGTTTTCCAGCTTCACGCTCCTCAAACCGTTTTCTCATTAAAGGGTCCGAGAGCTCCGACACGACCCACGACAGGCGGCAGCTCCTCGGAGAGTCACAGCCGCTGTGGTCTCACTAAACATTTTCAGCTTCAGCAGAAGCAGAGCCGACACCTGAGCCTCGCGTCACATGGTGCTGGAGCTCAGCCAATCAGTTTCTAGACTGCTTGATATCACAGAGGAGCCGCTGGTAAAATTTCAGTCTAGAGTCAAGAATGAGTGAACAATTTGATCCATCAGTTTAACCGAGTAAAACACTCGGAGCTGATCTCATGTTATGGTTTATTCGAATGAAATCCAGTCTCGTTTGTCCGTCACTGGGATGCTGGTTCTGTTTACATGTGTCAAGTTCTTACCGAGCTCCATGTTTCTGACAGAAGCATCAGCATTCAGCTCAGTTTTAGCTCACTGGGATTACAGAGAGAACGTGAGCCACACAGGACCACTGAGACCTCCAGCACAACCAGGATCAGGGAGGAGCAGCCTCCTACCCGACTGCTCGGTGGTTCATGGGAGAGAAAAGAGAAAAGAAGGAGCATCGAGAGACCGGGACGAAATATAAACCACAGGAGAGAAAATGGGAGTTGATAAAGTGAAGTAGATGCATTTAAACGCATGAGGAGGAGAGTGGTGGAGAGGAAGTGCTCAGTGGATCGTTAGAGGTGTCCTTCAGCCTGAGACACAGGACAGACACCCGCTAGTTGACGCCACTGCCTCCCATGTCTTCATCAGGAACACGAGGAGCTCTGACTCCAGCATGTCCCACGTCTACCTCAGGACGTCCTCTCAGTAGGACACACCTGAAACAGGATCCGGATCAGATGCCTGAACCACCTGAGCTGGACTCATGTGATGACGAGGAGTTGTGTTTGAGCGACTGAGGTTGGAGGACAGTGACTGAAAGCTCGTTCTGTCATTCACTCTCAGAATCATGTAACACTGTCCAGAGCTCGTGGTGAGGAAGGTCAGGAAGGTACACTGACCGGTTAATCCAATCAGGCAGCACTAATCACAGGCCAGTGCGTCATGTTACGGCTGCAGCAGGCAGGATCAGGACCAAAACCAAAGGCTGAACTGAAAAAGGCTTCATGTGCTGTGACAGAACCCGGGAACATTACAATGAAGAAAAACAAAAGTTTTCAGGAAACGCAGAGGAAAGCCAGAGCAATCAGGGTGTGTGATTATTAACGACGCGACAACAAACAGGGCTCAAATACACAAGAGAGCAACGAGGGAACAGGAAACACGGCGGGCACACAACGAGACGGGGAGGAAGCAAAACCAAAGACACTCACATGGAACTATCAAAATAAAACAGGAAACCAGAGGCCGACACTGAAACGCAGGCTGACAGAACACGAGGAGCAGAGACAAGAGTAACAACTGTGACACGGAGCCACGACTGAGTGTGGGACATGAAACAAACATGAAGACAAAGAAATCACTGAAGAACTTAGACAGCCAGAAAATACACGAGACTACATGATGAGAAAAGCACTAAATCTGGAAGCGTCGTCAGGGTCGAGGAAAAGATGAACGTGTTTGTGGTCTGACGTTTGGCTCCGTCTTCATCTCAACAGACCAGTGCAGCATCCTCATCCTCGCTGTAGACAGCGATCCGTTGTACAGCCTCTCACTCACCCTCCCCTCACCTGAGATACTTACTCTAAACTTCCTCCCTGACAAGGGAGCAACAACCAAAAGTTAATTACGACCATCCAGTTTAGGAACGCCTTTTCCATTCCAGCTCACGTGTTGTGACTGTGCTGCAGGCACTGCAGGAAATGATCGTAAAATCACTGCCTTAACCCTTTGAAGCCGGTCGGAGCAGCACGCTCTGTTTTGCGTAACTATTTTTAAATCCCGGTAGCTCTGCAACCACGTAAGCTAGCGCAATAATTTTTTTTGCATATGAAACCGGAGGAGTTGTACTTGCATCTGATGCCATCAGCTTGTCCTCGCTCACAGTTTCCTTCCACATATAGCTTTGCAAAAACTGCATAAAATCACTTGCAGCAACAAAAACATAATATTCCAGAAACACGCTTTGCCGATCCGATCAGCTGTTTGTAACACTTCCTACATCCATCAGCGAACTATCACATGTCCGCCATGACCTGCCCGAAACCGGAAGTGATGTCATTTTGCGGAAATGTAGTTTTTTACTACCAGGATCTCATGAACCTATACTGGTGTTTTTAAAAGTTATGTTTGACTTCATGACTTTCTGTGTCGTTTCTGGGATGCTGAGGACTCATATTGCACTGCTGGGAATAGTTTATTTTGATGCATCTGCTGCTTTTTTGCAAATTTGCAGTATAATATTCATTTTTGTTTTTCCTGCAGTGTATGAAAATTGGTGTATTTCAAAAATAAAACTATGAAGACACTCAAAATAAATTTCCTGTGGAAACTATTTTGTGCAACTTTTTTGTATTTACAGTTTTGAGGGATAAGCCTCTTAAATTTCTCTAACTAGAAATATATGTTAAAAAACAAAAACTATTTTCAATTTTTTGTAGTTTATTGCACTTTTTTGCAATTTATGTAATTACTATGCACTTAATGCAGACATATTATTAAGATTTGGGCTGTAATGGTTGTATTGATGTATAGCAACTTGAAATGCTCCCAAAAATTAGCAGGTAAAAATATAATATAAGCTCTGGTGGACTTGGTTCTATGGTAGGTCTTAAAGGGTTAAATCTGAACTTGCAGATACGCTGTAACAGGGTTTTTCCAGGTGCTGAACACTCCAGTTTTGTAAATAACTTGTTAATCTGAACAGTCGGGTGATTTGGGAGCTCAGAACATTTTATTTTTTATTGAAATCGCAGTAGAGCCTGTCTTTGACCTCTCCCTGACTTTTCTCTGCATCTTTTAGTTCAACCTTTTATTTCATGGTAGAGTCCCCTCACGTACGCTCCCAGAGCTCCGCCCTCTCCTTAATCCCTGTCATGTGATTGGCTGATAGTGGCGGAAGAGGCTCTGTCAGACCTCAGAGACACCATGAATTAAACATCCTCCATCTTTACAATTCTCCGAGCTCGTTAGCAGGAATAATTACCCAGACGCAGCGCCTGGTAAAGCAGACAAATGAAATCCATCAAGACTAAAGAGGTTAGGAAGCATTCTGTCCATCAACTCCTCCCTCTCGCTTCACTTTATGAGCACATTTAGTCCTCGGCTGTGTGCGTTTTAAATAGAAGTGCGCACACGGGCCGGCATGGTGTCACTGCAGATAAAGAATGCGATTACATGTGAAGCTTAAAGTAAAACACTGAACATTTCTACCCAATAATAGGGAGGAGTTTCCACATCCTGGTTTCTGTGATCTGCAAGCAGCTTTACAACCCCCTTCAGCCCCAGCTCCTCTGCTTCATGCTGTTTCTGGCTCAATGAGTCACGATGGCGGCTCTGTGAACATTATAAGCGCCACAGCCAGACTGGGCGTGGTCATGGATCTTTAACCCTTTGATCACCAGGATGCTGCAAACAAAAGTCTCTTTATGGTCATCTTGCATGTCTTTGTTTTGTCTTATTGAATTCATTTTGAGTGTCTTTGGTCATATTCTGTCTGCTTACGGTATTCTCATTTTCCGCTGTCTGTCAGCTGTCTTGTTGTCTTTGCTCTCATCTGTTTGCAGTCGTGCCGCACGTCTTTGTGGTTGCTTGACTTTCGTCTCCTCCTGTGTTGGTTGTTGAAGTTGCTTTGAAGTTGTTGCTGTACGTGTGTGCAGATATCCCTGAGGATCCCCGGGCTGCAGAAGTTTATTACAACCAGGACAGGTTCGACTCGTGCTCAGAGGACGACGAGCCAGCGGCACCTGCAGAGACTCTGTACCTGTCTGACCCACAGGTGAGCTGCTTTTAACGTGCTTTCATGGCTGAACATAAAATCTGCACGAAGAGACGAACACAGAGGAACGTGTGAGAGTCTCGCTCTGTTTCCACTCTGCTTCTTTATCCAGTGTTCAGGAGGCATGATGGGATTTTGTTTAGCTCCTTAATCAGTGTTAGCATTAGCCTGGATTAGCATGACGCACACAGAGAGGATGGTGTAGGTGGAGGAGCTTTGACTGCAGCTCTCAGGCGTCTCTGCTGGCTGGCTTTCATTGTGACGAGAGTTTTCGTGCGGCTCAAATGATCATAATACAATTGTCACGCGTCCAGAGAAGCCCCCTAAAACCTCTAATTAAAGACACACTCGCAGCGAAGGAGTCCTGACCCGCCGCTAACGAAGATGCACATTGTTAGCAGCTCAGTTACTCTGAGAGAAAAAGTGCATTTTTAACGCCAGAGCTGGAAGTTCTCAGCACAATCAGAAATGTGAGAGAATAACCCGAAAATTAAAGACGCTGAAGGTGATTTAGGGAGGAGTCTGAGGGATTAAGACTCAAAGAGAATATGATGGAAACAGAAACAGCTCATGTGCTCGGTTTGTTCCTGTCAAAGGAGAAATGTCCACTCACCGATGGATCATTACAACCGCCGTGTACCAGGGCTCGGTGCGGCCTCTGAAACAGGCGTTTGGCGTCTGCTGGTGGAGTCGTTCCTGCTTCTTGTTGTGTCTCTTTAGCCTTTGTGGATCTTTTTGTTTCTCTTTGTGTAGTTTCATAGTTTTGCAGCATTTTGTTGTTTCGGTGCCTCTGCAGCTCCTCTGTACTATATTTTTATTCTTATTTTTTAAGTGTGATCTTTGTTAAATCTAAATCTTTGGATAAATGATTTTTAGCCTTTGGATGGATTTTTAAGGTTTGATCATGATACAAATATGATTTACTGTAATTCAGTTCGATTCAGTTTTATTTATATAGCATCAAATCCCAACATCAGACGCAAACAGCGACAGTGGGAAGGAAAAACTCCCTTTTAGCAGGAAGAAAGCTCGGACAGATGGGGGAGGGGCGGCTGTCTGGGAGTGAGGAGTGTTTTCAGAGTTTAAAAAATGACCTCTGTCATCTTGAGGCTGGACCTTCTCCCTGTTTATGTGCTCATTATTCCCACCGTCCAGCAGTGGTGGGAATAACGTTCCCACAAAGAGATAAAGGTTTGTTTTTTAAGGGAGAATGAACGAATGAATGCAAAACGCTGACACTGTACATGAAGTTAATAGTTCAGTAATAGCTTATTGCAGGACTGTATGCAGTAATAATTTAGGGAGGACCTGAAATCACAACCTGAGCCGCTGCACTAACAATGTCAGTTCAGCTTCAGGTGTATAAAAGCAGATGTGCTATTTTCTGTCACTGTAGTCTGTAAGCTGCATGCAGGTTTGGTCTGATTGAGCCTGCAGAGATCGGTCGCAGCATGTAGGACATGCAGGGGAAGAGGAAACGTCCCACAAATGTTCCCTCTACAGGGATCCCTTTCACTGACACGAGCCCACAGCTACAGGGTGAGTCAGATCCCATTTTTCGGTAGACAGCAGCTCTGCATCCCGGGACGATTACCACCAATTTATAACCAAACGGCCGAGTCCAATTCACTTCCATTAGAGGCAGAGAGAGCCAGCGGTGAAGGCCAGCAGCCAATTTGTGGTTGAGCTTCAGAGAAAGTGGAAGGCTGGGAGAGATTAAACCTATTTGTCACTGCTGATAGTGATGACAGAAAACAGAGAGGAGAAGATGAGGAGAAATGGAGCGAAGCTGCGGATTGTGGAGCCGGATAATTAGCGGAGCCGAGACACAGAGAGGCCACGAGACGAAGCTCTGAGACTCTGATCGCTGCGTTTCTGTGGAGGATGCTGGGTCACGTCTCTGGAGATCTCGTCTGATAGCTGATAGATTTACCGTGGCGCCCAAATCAGAACTGCACTATTACAAATACCAGAGCGCTGTTGAATGAATCAGGCTTTAGACGCATGTCAAACCGCTCTGTCAATGAGTGAAAGACCCGCCGAATAAAAAAGTTTAAATACTTACAGGATATTACAGGTACCAGTCCAGATTCTTCCGTTTTCCTAACAACAGCTTAACTGATTTAAGACTAATGCTCATACATTCATCCTCTGACCGGATGTGTTCAGCTGCAGCTTGTCTGTCGTGCTCCTGTGTAGATGGGAACACAGTAGTTTCTTCATTTTCTAACAGATTTTATCTGTTTTGATTTTATACACTGTTTGTCTTTCCCTGAGAAAGAAGCTAGCGTATGCTGCTGCTGTAGAGATCACTGCAGAGGCTTCACAGATGTGGAGCTATCCCATAATTATGTCAGTGTTAAGTAACATCTATGAGTCTGAAGCTACAGCTTCATTCTGCTTTAATGAGCCTTTCTAACTTCAATTCAACTTTATTTACACAGCGCCAAATCACAACGACAGTCACCTCAAGCTGCTTTATACTGTGAGTCAGACCCTACAATCATACATACAGAGAAAAACCCAACAATCATATGAGCCCCTATGAGCAGCACTTTGGCGACAGTGGGAAGGAAAAACTCCCTTTTAACAGGAAGAAACCTCCGGCAGAACCAGGCTGGGAGGGGCGGGGCCATCTGCTGTGATTGGTTGGGGTGAGAGAAGGAAGACAGGATAAAGACATGCTGTGGAAGAGAGACAGAGGTTAATAACAGATATGATTCAATGCAGAGAGGTCTGTTAACACATAGTGAGTGAAGAAGAAGCACTCCACGTCACAGAGTCGTCTCTTGCATGAACCCAGAACGTTAAAGTGCTCCATATTTTTATTTTCTTCCATAAAGATCGGCCCACCGGTCATTTCTGTGAGCAGGTGATTGTGTCATCGCACTTGGACGGGGTGAGACTCGTCACCCTGATGAAACCTAGTAAGTAGTCAATAAGTTTCTTTGCGTGAGTCATCGTTTAAACGAATCCGTCTTTATCTCACACCGAGGCTGTCGTAGCTTAAAATTTTTAAGTGAGCGGCTGCATCAAGATAAATATTAAAAAAGCTGTAGTGCAGGTTTGCGTCTCCATCAGGCTCAGACTATTTCATGGAAATTCATTCCTCAGTGGTCGATCCTGTCGTGCAGCCGAACAGAAATGAAGCCCATAAATGTTCCTGAATGATGAAGAGTAACAGCTCCATCGCTTCTCAGTTATTACTGCCTGGAGAGCCGATAACACTGAAGAAGAGGACAGGGCTGAGTTATTGCCACAGATAATGGAAAATAATATTCATTATTAGTGGAGCAGCAGTTGACTGATGCAGAGAAATGCTGTCAGTGCAAGTGGGTGCAAAGTGAAACGCCTTCCTCCTGAGCGGTCGGGGAGGGGCCACGCCACAAAGTGAACCCGATTCAAACAACCAATCAGATCCTGAAGTGAAACTACATCCATCCACCTGTTTTCCCTCTTTACAGAGTGAAGATGATCCAGTAACATGTTATTATATATATATACATATTAACTCGAGGTTTCCTGTGGGACTTTCTCACATCACTGTGGAGAGTTCTGACCCACTCTTCTTTACAGCGTTGCTTCAGCTCATTGAGGTTTGTAGGATTAATCATTCACAGCTCTGTGAAGGTCCCACCACAGCATCCCACACTCTGACTGCACCACTGCAGCAGCTCCATTCTTTCCTTTTCCAGCCGTTCTGCTGCAGATCTGCTGCTGTGCTCGGGTCATCGTGGTGACCCAGTTCAGTCCAAGCTTCAGCAGACAGACGGCCTCTTGTCTGACACTAGAATACAGAGGAGTTCATGGTGCCCAAATCCTCGCCCCTCCACCGCCGTGCTGTTGGTTTGAAGTGTTTGTGCACCATGGCCGAACAGCTCCGCTTTGCTCTCGTATGTTCAGATGCAACGTTGAAACCTAAACTGTCATGTTCAGTTTACAGAGCAGAGGTTTTCTCCTTGTACCTCCCAAACAAGCTGCAGTCATTCAGTAATTTTCTACACGATGACTCGTCTCTCAGCTGTAGATACCAAAGTGCAGAGAGGTTTGTCACAAATGCAGCAGACGAGTCTTTTCAGCCTTTTCTGAAGCAGAGCATCTTTCATCAGCCGCACACTCGGACTCTCTCCTCGTTGTGCTGCTTTGACGATCAGCCTGACGTGGTCTCAGTTTTCCTTTGTTCTCCTCCCTCACGGTTCTTTTTTGGGCTGTTGCTGTACTTCCTGTTTCCGATGACTCCACGCTGCCAGTTTATTCCCGTCTCTCAAGTCTCTCACTGCACTTTGGTCCTTATTTTATGTCCATGTGACTCTGCCTGTGTGAGGTGATTTTATCTGCACTGAAGCACAAAGCAAATCAAAGTTGCTGAGACCAAAAGCAGGTCCAGCCGAGGCAGCAGAGCTATAACAGTTAGCTTAATAGAAAATGGAACTGGCTGAAAAACCTTCTAATTGTCCTTTAAATGCGCAGCGATGCGACACTGCGTGAAGTCTGTTTTAAATTCCAGCTGCACGATTAACTCTGGAGCAGCAATCTGAACGAGGGTGTGTCTGCAGTTTAAATGTCTGAGTCCGTTTTTATTGGCTCGTGAATGAAAGTGGATCAGCCTCCCGCAGACGTCCCCTCTCTGCTCCCTCGCTCTGTTTGTTTTGCAGGAATAACGAGTGAAATAAGTCGGAATCATTCACATGATGCATCGGCTGTGTAACAACACGCAAATTATTATTAAGCTTTGTGCAGAACAATCTCGGTTTCCCGATTCGGCAGCTGAGCACGGTGACGGGGGACGTGGATGTCTCCGAGCTTTTCTGTCAATAGCACACTTCAGCTGTTTAAGGTCTATGTGTCTATTGTGACCAAAGCTATTAAAGCTAAATCGCCTTTTGGAAAGCTGCGGGGGACCACGCGACACAAAACCAGCTTTTTCTTTTAGCTTTTGTTGCCACGACAGAGAGTGCAACGATAACCCCGGCACACCACAGACATACAGCAGAAGAGTCCATTTAAATGTGCATTATGGTCTTTTTTATGTATTACAAACAGACTTTTTCAGTGTGTCAGCAGAACTTTACAAAAGTTCTTCCTCAACTTTTGGTCGGAAAGCCTGTGGTCTGATGTGTCACGGCCGAGCGGGCCTGTGTTTGTGGAGCCCGAATGCAGACACGGGAGAGAATAATTGTGGCTCAAGAGTTGGGAGTTCGCCTTGTAATCTGAAGGGTGCCGGTTCGAGCCTCGGCTCGGACAGTCTCGGTCGTTGTGTCCTTGGGCAAGACGCTTCACCCGTTGCCTACTGGTGGTGGTCAGAGGGCCCGGTGGCGCCAGTGTCCGGCAGCCTCGCCTCTGTCAGTGCGCCCCAGGGTGGCTGTGGCTACAATGTAGCTGCCATCACCAGTGTGTGAATGTGTGTGTGAATGGATGGATGACTGGATATGTAAAGCACTTTGGGGTCCTTAGGGACGAGTAAAGCGCTGTATAAATACAGGCCATTTACCATTTAAACAAAAAGTTTAATTATGGCTGATGGAAAAACAAAGCAACAGTAACGTGGTTTCACAGAGGCGGCAGCACCATCACCTCACCTTAATCCAGGACTCCCTTTGTGTGGTCATGTTCACACATGCAGGTCAGCTTCTCTGGTGATTGTAAACTGGCCACAGGTACGAATGTGACTGTGGCTGGTTGTCTGTCTCTGTAATAATAATAATTATGTGATTTTGTTTGTAATTATAGAAAGAATTGATCATTCTGACCAGACTAAAAGATCCATCATCTTCCTCAGGTCAGTGAGCTTGAGGCCATGATGAAGCACATGCAGGAGGTTCTGGATGAGGAGCTGAGTGGTGAGTCCGAGCACCAAAAACACTCCATGCACAGACACAGAGCTGGGCGGGTGGTCCGTCCGACACGTGACACGGCTGTGCAGTAAGGGGACAGCAGACACGAACGCTCATTTAACTCAGCTACACTAAAGCAGGTACGGCTGCAGGCATCATGATCATCGGCAGGTCATCAGGAGTCTTCAACGCAGCTGATCTACTTCAGGCGTGTCTGAAGAAATGAAGAGTTTCAGCTCATTCGTATAAACGCTTCTCGTCTCTGGCACATGCTCAGTTTGTGCGTTTGCTGTGCTGTGAAACCGAGTTTCTATTGCACACATAAGATAGCCGTGCACACGTGCACACAGTCTGCGTGCGCTTTCCATCACGAGTCCTCCTCCCCCCGCGTCCCCAGCCTCCCTCCCTCCCCCCTCGTTCCTGTTGGCCTGGTTCAGTCACCGTCTCGCCTCGGCTGTGAAACCTGTTCGTCTCGCTCCGCTGACCTCAGAAAAAATCAAAGCCTCCACAGTTCGCCTGCAGATGAAACCTCGCTCCGTCTTTTCTGCTGCCTGATGAAACGCTGTCACGAAACAGGGACACAGCCTGCAGCTTCCCCACGCTTACTGTACAAAACCAGCACAAATCCACCCAAACTGTCAGACATAATGAGTACGGCTGAATGTGCTGTGAAATGCACCAGGTAACCGTTTTCTGCTGTATCTCATTAAGCAAGAAAAACCTATTTAAAAAATCAAGACAAATTCTGAGTGGATCCAACATCAGCTGTGGATGATCTGCTTTTTATTTCCAGCTAATAAATGAATGATTATTTTTGCTCGAACCATAGACACAGGAAGCCCAGTCAGGACAGAAACAGCCAGTCTGAGCATGTTTACGTGTCGTCTATATCTTTTCTTATTCAGAGACAGCAAAGAGGAACCAGAGTGATGCTTTGAACAGTGTGAGAGGCAGCCAGCGCCTCCGGACGCTTAATTAGGCAATTATTTTAAACCATGTGTCAAAAGCAAAGAGGAGGCGGCCAACGGACTAAAATTTGAACACCATTCATCATTATCTGTAAATAGGAAAACTTAAGTCGCTGCTTCATTGCGGCTTCATCAGAGGCTCGTCTTCGTTTCCTCTCCAGGTTCTGTCTGTTTCAGTGCTGCTGGGTCTCTGAGAGTCTAAATGAGTCTCACAGGTCTGGAGACTCATTTATAATAATTATAATTTATCATTCTTAGCTTGTTTGATCTGCTGCTCACCACACACACGCACACATTTTGGACTTTTAACTGCAGTTTCAGAAGTTTTACAGCTTTTCCTACTGAACAGTCATACGACACAAAGTAATGAAGCAGTAACCCAGAGGGAGGGAGAACATCTGGTTCATCTGTAAATACAGACACGTGTGGAATCCACAGAAACACCAGAATCCTGCATGAAAGCGTGGATCGTTCACCCGACAGAGAGCGCAGTGTCACTGGTCCGGCTGGTCCACAGTCTCATTCTTTCACACACCACCCACAGCATGCAGCTATAGGTGGGGGTGGACTGTACAGCAAAAACTTCACTCCTCCCCTTTGCAGTAACTCCTCCCTCGCCCGGAGCGGGCCCTTCACCCGGTCTCAGACTCTGGGCGCCGTCCCGTCACAGTGAGCTGGAGGGCATCACTCAAAGCCAGCAGAGACGCATCATCAGCATAAAACAAACAGATGAACAGACCGCTGCTTTCCTCTTCACACGTTCACATTCATGCACCTTCCTCTATGCCTGCGTGCATTCACACACTCACTCCGATGGATGTGTTATTCCAACTCGGGGTCCGGTATCTTACAGTCAGGCATCAAAGCACTGACCTTACAGTTAGTAGATCTGTGGCTCTGCGTCCTGAGCTGAAGGTTGCTCTTCCATGGAATCAGGACGTGTGATGTGAACCTGATCTCAGTGACGCTGGGCTGTTTGATGGGGTCTGCAGTGCCGTCGACATGTGCTCTGTGGGACAGGGCGTTCAGCCGCGCCCCTCAGGGCGTCATGCAGATGTGTGCAGCTGTGTGTTTCCTGCACCACATGGCTGCTCACAGCACAAACAAGTTCTGACAGACTTCAGTGGGTTACAGGGCATCATCCAGCAGGCTGCGGACACTTCCTGATGTCAGTCATTGCAGCAGCAGGAAACAAATGTTGGTATCAAGCAGCAGCAGATGGACTCAAACAAACGTGAAAGCAGAAGAAAATATTCAGTTTTCTGCAGGTGAGTCTGAAGTGAGTTTATCAACGTTCACAAAGTGAATAAAGTCAAGAAAAATGAAATTCTGACGCTTTTTAAACAGGAGTCTGTCACTTAGATGCAAATGAAACTCGGTTTAAATGTTGTGACGTCTGAATTCGACGCACTGATATTTAAACTGCTGTTGTGTTCGTTTTATTATCAAATGCAGACACGAAGCACAAAGGTACAGACAGAAAGGATCGTCTCTTCTTTCTTTATAACATCCAGTAAACATGAATAACATAGATAGCATGAATACCCCCCAATAATTTGAAGGTGACTATGTTACAGAAAGATGGATTAACTGTCACAGTGAATTGGGTTAAAGGACTCAGGTGCGAGACTCCTTGCAGAGTGACAGTGAATTTATTCACAGTGAAAAAATAAGGTAACAGTTTGAGTCTGTAATCCAAAAAGGGCAGTGCAGTGACACGGTGGCTTCTCCCCGTGGTGACAGTGCAGTGACTTGTGCCCGCTCCTCCTCCGATCCCTGGATCCTGGAGGCAGATGAGAAAAACACACGCATGGTGACGAAAACGTTCTCTCCTTCACAAACAGGTATGCTAATCACGACTACGCTACCCGGTTTAGCTCGACGTTCCAGCGTTGGTTGTGACTCGACTGCACCGTTAAATAGGTCTGCTTCGGATTAGTAGCAGCCGGCGAAGCGATTACGCACAGGTGCGACGATTCCAGCTCGGGATCCTCCCCCCGCGTCAGCTGCCGTTCCGTGCCACGGCTTCCAGAAGTACATGTTCCAGCATACAAACACACATGCACAGGATGGAGAGGAGAACACCACAAAGTACACACTAACACAACAGAAATTGGCAAGGCTACCGGTGAGGACCGTCTAGCCGTGACATTAACCCATACATCAAAACAAATAATGAAGACCAACAATAAAGGGCTCATTCCTGTGAATTCATATTGACATTAATCAACATTAATTAACTCTAATTAATATCAATATTAATGACATTTGCTCCTCAGTCAAAGTAAATCGATAATGCTGGAGTATCTTAAAAGAAGTACTCTTACGAGGTGGAACAGGCACTGCTGGCAGCAGCTGGAGCGTTTGTGCACGGGCGTATGATGGACTACAAAGAGATTTCTTGTGCTGGAAGCTACGGTAAGTATTTAAGTAATGGTTTCCAGTGAGTAACAAATCTATCAGATGAGCCTCTGAGGGAGAATTTATCTTCTCCAGTTTTAGGAGTCCTAGGATGTCGTGTAACCAGACTTTAATGCTGGCTGACATGATTTCCACGACAACAAAATTCTTTTTCGGGCAATAAGAGAAGCAAAGGCAATAAAGTTATTTTGGAAGCAGAAGTAATCCAGAGGGAAATACACAGAAACAGGAAACAGGAGGGGAACGCAGCCGAAACTAATCGGACATGACGAGACGGGAGGGAGAGCAACACTGTAAAGACTAACACAGGACACGGCAAAGTAGAACAGGAAATACACCAACATGGAGACAAGGACGACTAGACGTAACACAAGGGAGGCACAAGAACAGTAAAGGAGCAGAAATACAAACTAAACCATGAAAAACCATAAAATAACAGAATGATCAGAATCAAAGCACAAAAACACTCCAGACCCAGTGAGCTTAAACTCTACACGGACAAACGTTTTGGGCCACAGCTCATCATCTTTGAATTCAGGTGTTTTAAGCCCCGTGGCCACACCTACTGAAGCCACACTACCTGAGGCCACACCTACTGAAGTCACACCCCCTGAGGCCACACCTCTGAGGTCACACACCCTGTGGGGCCACACCTCCTGAGGCCACACCCCGTGGGGGGGCCACACCTCTTGAGGCCACACCCCCTTAGGCCACACCTCCGGTGTCCATGCAGTCTGCCCTTAAATAAAGAAAAAAAGGTCATTGTGAAGACTCTCCTATGTTCCTGCAGCAGGTTGCTGTAAGCACTTGTATTCCAAAGTGAAGCGTTTAGAACCAGAACTAAGGGTCAGAACACACAGACTTTTTTAATAACTGAGCAAATGTAAAATTAATATATTCTAATGACTCTGATTTGTCTGTGAAGCAGGAGACAACAAACACAGGCAAACACCAAGTGCTTCATCACTGTTTGCTGTTCCTTTGGTGTTTCCATTAAAACTCTGGCTTCAGCATTAGTTGTACAAAGAGTTCAGCGTGTTTCCTGCCTGTCAGGTCCCTGCTTAACCAGACTAATTATTCCCTTTAGGGAAGCAAAGTAACAGAATGCAGCATCAGCAGAGATAAACAGCCATTAAATCCCCGGATATTTAGCATCCAGTGAACGGACGAAAGGCCCGGAGCAGCCCAGAGCCCATTATCCTGATTTACTGTCCAGTCATTAGCTGTTGAACAGCAGCTCAGAGTCTATCTGTGCTGGCCGGAAAACAAAAGCAGCAGCAGGTTTGCTTTTGTTTAACACGTCCGATTCAGCGTGAAGGGAAAGGAGGAGACTGCCAACATCGATAACAGATACAGAAAGAAAGGTGAAGCTGAAAGCCAGACATTAAAAGGATCTGATGGATACTCTGCAAAGTGCTTAAATAAAAATAATAGCTGAAAGCAGTGCACGTGATATTTGTTAAACGGAGCCCCTGAAGGCAAATCGTTTCTGATTATGAAATGTGAAGGAGACGCGAAAGCAGGAAGGAAGTGAAAGAAATCCAGAGATGTGAACAATAAAAGGGTTCAAATATCAGCTGGTGTAGCGCGGACCGGTCCGGACATGACGCCCGGCCGCTTTCGGTTTAATGATCTCTGTGAGGGCGTCAGCTCGTCAGCATTCAGAGCTCGTTACAGCTCAGACTTCCTGGCAATCAAGAGCCTCGTTAAGACGCTGAGCTCGTTAATCTTCAAAGAGACTTGAAACGACTACCTGTGACTGAGACGTCGCACCTTTGCTTTTATGAAAGTTTTCAGACTGGTCATTTTCTGTGTGTGAGGCAGTATAGACACGTGTGTCTAGATTCTGGCAGCAGCAGATATCCTGCCATTATAATCCCATTAGATCACCTCCACGCTCTGCTGTGCTTCTGTTGATGGAGCCTGAGCTGCTCCTGCAGACAGAGAGGCAGGAAGTGAGGAAGGACGCCAGGATCCCATCACGGTAATCTGCTGTCAGTCACTGGATCCAGCAGGAGCAGCATGAAAGGGTCACTGCGCTGCTTTTAATAGCACCAGGTGGAGGTAATAGAAATGCTTCAGACTGGATTAAAAGCACCGACCAGGGTTCATTAAAAATGCTCACGTATAGAAACGTTTCAAATTAAAGGAAAAACCCACCATGAAGAAACTTAGTAGGTGTTTGGCTTCCAGGTGACATGCAGGGCGGGGTCCGCAGGCACCTGTCGTCAGGACTTGTCACATCACTTGATGGAGGAACCAGCCAATGGCGTGCCCCGCAGCCTTACACCCTGCTCACGCTGGCCCTCCGTTCCTGGACTACATGAAACCGGCGGAGCTGCTGCTTCTCAAACGTTTTCTCAAAAATGGTTCAAATATTTCATGTGAGGGAAAAAATGACACATGCAGTTATGAAATCTCTTATTACAGACTCACGCACCGTCACAAAGCGCTGCAGACTCTGAGCCGCAGTGAGGGATTGGTCAGGTTATTGTCATGACTACCACAGGTGAACACCCCTCACAGCCACTGGTGAAGCGTACTGGGGGGTGTAGTTATGGAGTTACATCAGGTAACCAGGACATGTTTAAATCTGTGATACTGATATTGTGAAGTACGGGATGAAGAACAGGTAACTGTAGTGTTCAGTGTTAATGTTGATTTAGTCTCTTTGTCGTCTGTAAGCTGCAACATTATTCTAGTAAAATCATAAGATTACAGTTCAGTGACTAGTTGATCCACGTGGTTTACTAACGGTTTTGGTTTATTGACGTAAACAAAGAAAATTGCTGAAACATTTCATCACAGCTTTTGTCCTGTTCCAATCGTGTTTCGTGATCGTCTTGTTTTCTTCAGTTGGAACTATGATGGAAATGTTGGAGGCTCCAGATCCTGAAACCGTACGAGTCGAGGTCCAGATTGACTGAAAGTCTTTAGGCGTGTCTTACTTTCCTCTTTTGTGTTGTTTGTCTTTAAACCAGGAGACCCAGCAGGGCCAGAGGCCCCTCGGAGCCCCGCCCATCAACCGCAGCCAGTCTGAGAACTCCAGCAGCAGAGACAGCGAGTCCTCCACCTCCTGTTAGTTTGAGGATCTGATCCAGAACCTTTTGTACTGGAGGACAATAATGAAGCACAGATGTTACCAACTTGCTTTGAGCAAGGCAGCAGACTTGTTCCTGTTTTAGCTGAACTGATTTAGGAATATTTAGGATTTCTTAGTTTTTTTCTGGTCTGTCTCCATGAAAATAGTTTTTCACATTTTTACATGAAGCCGTCGATGTGCACGTCAGACGCTGGGATAAAGTAAAGATGCAAAGTTTAGACTCGGGCACTGCAGGTCCAAGGTCCTGGGTCAACACACCTGGATCACATGATTAGTTCATTAGCAGGAGAACTTCAACACATGTTGAGGAGGTCATTTAGCCTTTAAATCAGCTGTGCTGGATCAAGGACACATCTCTGCTCTAAAACGTAGTCTTTCCTTCTGATTGTCCGATCAGGAAAAAGACGCCATTGATCCTCGAGTCAGCCGCTCGACTCGACCTTTGAGTCGGTGCGGACTGTTGTTCTGTTGTAAACCAGAGCAAGGAGCTCTTTTATACCAGCTGAGATTATGGTTGATATATATTTTAGGGGAAAACAGATATTAGTTGTCATGGATGCGGGTGGTGGTGTTTCTGCTGCAGATTCATGAAATAATAAATGTGACTCGTGAGGAAGATTCTGCTGCTTGATGAAAGCGCAACAATAATCACTAGAAAAATAAATGACGGTGTGTCATCTTCACCAATGTAAAGTGAATTTAATGTCCCGTCTTTAATCTGTCTTACTGTCTGCGTGTTTCCAGCGTTACTGAGAGGGGGCATCGAGATAATCGGTTCTGCATTTCATTACTTCCTCATTAAAGGCTCATAAAAACACAAAAGCAGAAACGATCTGCTCCCTCAGGCAGCTCAGCTCTTAACCTGCAGATCTTCTTTGGGCAGGAAACTGGCTTCAGTAAAATAATGTATATTGATGGTTTTATTATAGCATTAGAATTAAAATGAACTCATCAGAGGCTCGTTCAGCTAAATCAACCTGCTGCCTTTCAGCATCTGCTTAGTTCCTCTCTTCAGTCTCCTACAGGCCAACGTAACTTTGGCTCCAGCTGTCTGCACACTTTTCCTCTGCTGAGTTTCTTTTTTCAAATTTTATCTATTAAAAAACTGTTTTGGGTTATCAGCTGAGATTTAAGCTCCATCTCTCCACAAGCGCCTGTGAAAGTTTAATTTAGAATAATCCAATTATCGCAGACGAAACATCATCCCCGAAGCTGCAAGCGCCGCCGCGTGGATCAGAGCGCGATACGAAGCAGATCTGCTTTTGTTCGTGCAGATTGTAAGAAACTACCAGTTAAACAAAAACAACCGAACATTTAAGATGGCAAGAAACATTTGAAAAAGGTAAAAGAAAGAGCGAGGGCGTGTTCACAGTGGAAACTTAGTGTGAGGATGAGGAGGATTCCTTCCTTTCAAACAGTTAAAAGCAGAGTTTAACGTGCAGGCTGTGCAGCTGCTGTGCAGAGAGCACAAACACCTCCCTGCAGCATGATGAGCTCTGGTACGGACTTCATCCCGTGTTTTCTCTCATTTGTTGCACAGCAGGAAAAGTTCAGCACAGAGAAAACAAGCTGAAGTGAACTCTTGCTCATCAGCTCACTGCTTTGTCTGCTCTCTGCTGTAATCCTGGAGGAGGGCACTGCTCCCTGCAGCTTGTTATCACCATACTTCACACGTTAAGCCTCATTCTTGCAGGATTTGTAGATCTGTGAAGGGGTCGATTTTTTATCTAATCCACAGTGCATGTGAGTCATTTTTCAGCCCCTCCCCAGCAGCAGCGATAAACTGCTGCTTTTCCCTGAACTCGCTGCTCCTCCTCCTCTAAATTCAAATCCTGTCTGGAGACTCCACGTCGTATTTGAAATTGTTTTTTCCGTCTCCTGTAGTTTATCAGCTCAAAGTGAACTTTGGCTTGGGAGTAACATACCTGTCAGGAGCAGGTGAGACCAAACACGGAGCTAGCGGAGCAGCTGCAGGCCTGCAGCTGAAAATACGAACAGCTGGATATGAAATGACAGATGTTGGGTTTTAAAAAAGGAAAGACAGCAAACAAAAATAATAAATATCATTATTCTGTTTGCTTCCATTCAACTTATCTGACTAAACACGATCATGGCTCCACCCCTCTGCATGAAACCCCGCCTCTCTGCTCTGATTGGATCCAGCTGGTAGGTGGATGGTTGATGGTCACATAGGTGGCGTTAATGAAATGAAAAATCCCACTTGGATTGAGTTGTCTTGTCACCATGGCAACAACGTCTTTCTCCACAAACACACAACAGCTGCTCTGCGTGGGAATTAAAGGCTGTCGGCTTCCTCGGAGCTCCTCGTAAAACAAGGAGGAAGAGGAGGTGTTTAGAAGAAGAACAGAGCTCTGTGATTACTCCTTCTGCCCTCGAGGTCCCTCGAGCCAGAGCTCAGGGTCTGAAACATTTCTCTGCAGAGGACATCAAGTTACATTACTCCGAAAAGTTTGTAGGTACTGATGGATCAGCTCTACTTCCTGTTCCCTGGATATTAAATTGATTATTTTTAATGAATTATTATTTTACCAGAAGCTCCAGCGGCCTTTTCCAGTCATTCCTCCCTTTGTAACAACTCTAATTCAGTCAAGGTGCTCGAGAACATTAATTTAAGTTCTGGATGTGACCACTGACAGGCAGCTACAGCTGCTATCTTTCTGTTTAGCTTCAGCTAAGCTAATTAACCTGGCAGCGGACCTGTCGCAGGGTAACACAGAGGAACAGACAGACACGGTCAGTCTGTGGTTACAGCCAAAAACGACGAGGCTTCAAAATGTGAAGCCCAACACCAGCATCACGGTGGGTTTGTCCCAGTATGATTCAGACTGACACAGTATGAAGAGTTGCTTCTTCTCATCAGCCCTGACTTCACAACCACCTTCAGGTGCAGTGACTAAAACCGACAGCTTGGATATCTTTGAAAGTGCATCAGTGTGATAGCGTCATGATTGTGTCGCTGCAAACAGCAGGTGTGTGCGGTGCTCCTGGTGTGCCAGCTTCAGCACGAGTGGTCCAAACAAGTCTTTTCTCCATCACTCTGTGTATAGTCAGGTATGTGATGCCTGTTAGAGGAAGGCAGGTCAGGGTAGGCAGCGTGATGCTCTGGATGAAAAGACCGTGGACACTCCATGGCAGAGGTATTCCCTGGTTCAGCAGGACAACGCTCCCTCCCCCCCAGCATTCAGGAATACTGTGAGAAACATGACAAAGACCTCAGGGTGGTGCCTCCAGATTTCCTAGATCTCAATTCACTGAGCATTGCTGGAATTTTCTGGAAGCTCCACTGCACAGACTCCAGGACACAGACACAATATTAGGCACACAGGTTTGTGTTTTGTTCTATCAAATCATTCCTGCTTTAGGATTTGGAGCCTCTGTCAGCTGGAGACAAGGTTTTTGGAAGCGCTACTGGATGCTGCAGGAAAACAGTCTCTGTGATGGAGCGCATATGTCAACATATAATTAAGATTTGAATCCACCTTTACATGTTTCCACATTAAGAGGGAACAGAAAGTGTTGGTTTGGCTGAAAATGTCCCCCATCACCCTGGAGCCATGACAATAAGTCGATATCTGATTTCTGGAGCTTTGGTGTGGACGTGCATCAGAGATAATCATCTCCTCAGGAGGTGGAAGCCACACTGAATATAAATACTTAATTCCTGCCCTGATTTGACTGAGTTATGATTGAGAAATACAAAGATGTCTAACTAATTCACCTCGTGCTGCATTTCTACCCCACCTTCAGCCTGGTGCTGCCCTCCTGTGGAGACATTTATCTCGCTAAATATTCTTCTCATTTCACCCGAGGTAAAGAAGCTTGGATTGATGAGGTAAATTACAGACGAGCTGGGTGACATGTTACTTTCCGCCTCCCCCTGCAGCTTTAATCCTGTATGAACAGGACTTCCTCTTCCCGTAACGTCCAGCGTGATGTTGGCCGTCAGTTTGTGCCCTGAAGCTTCAGCTCAGACATGAATCCTCCTGCTGCTTCTTCATAAGAGCAGCCAAGGATGTGAGAGGAAATGAAGAATTTGGAGACATCAATAAATTATTGGGTTTGTATTTTGCTCTGATGCTTGAATGCAAAAGGTTTGATTCCTCTCCTGTTGGTTTTAGAAAGTTCTGTGGATGCAGGTGAACAGCATACCTGCTAATTACTGCTGAATAACAGACTTGACAGTAAAGTTAATCCACATCTGTCAGATAATCCAAGTACAAGTTAACGGTTAATTGAAGTGAAGCTGGGCAGCCATGAAATATGGCCGCTGTTGAACATTTCGACATCGGAGTGTTTGGAGAATGACTCACTGCTGGAGCTCCTGGTGGACGTCAGAGGAACTGCAGTTTTAGCCTTATTTTTTTTCTTTTTTAAGTCTTTCTTTATTTTTGCTTTGTTTGGAAAAGTAAGTAATTGAGGTGTTTAAGAAGGAAATTGAATAAAGATGCTGAATCACAAAGAAAAACATCAGTCAGAGCAGTTGGTCTCCTGCGTCTGCAGCCGGCTCTGTGACTGTGGAGGAAAGAAACATGAGTGTTGTCAGGCAGCCTGGCAGCTGCTGTCGACGTCACCAAGAAAACAGCCGATTACCTGCTGACAGGAGCTCAAAGCAACCTGAGAGAAGCAGGAGGAGCAGCTAGTCTGCGCTGCTGCTTTCACTAACTGCAGCTTTTCTCACTTATTAAAATCAGACAGTTCTTTAACGGTCGTTACTCCGGCTGCTTCTTTGAAATGAACTTGCTGTTGCTGTAAATCACCAGGAGAGCTGCTGATGGCCTTGTGAGCGCTTGTTTCACAGCTGTCAGACTTACAAGTGTTTAATTGCAGCATCTGAGGTTTTCGATGAATAAACACTTGTTGTGTATCTTCAGTTTTACCCTGGTTACAGGCGGCTAACGAGTTGTCGTCAACACAGTCTCCTCTTCTGTGCTGTCTCAGCTCATACAGCAGAGGAGAGAAAGCAGCCCAACAACACACTGCTGTGAACACTGCACTGAAATCAAAGCTGCATAAATTACCTAAAAAGCATCCCCCCCCCCCCCCCCCCCGAGCATCTGGGGGGGGACTTTTGTTAAGACTGCAGGCAAACAGGGAGTGTCGCTGGCCAACATTACTGAGACAGCGTGTGTGAATGTGGCTTGTAGTGAAAAATGCTTTGAGGGGTCGGTAATGATTTTGTGTGGACATTTTTGCAAAGTCAAGAGTTTTTCTGGGAAAAAAG